AAAGTCGAACTACTAATTATGAACTAGCCTAGAGGACGCATTCCGTTTTTTTAAATGAAAAAAACTGAAAGTTGCATTAAAGGAATGGCAAAAATGCAATATCTGAATGCAAGATGCCTCCGCTTAAAAACCATCCCAAAAGGGATTAGAATAACGAAGTACAAATAAATAATGAAATTGTCCCCTTTTTCATCTGTGCTTATGAAAATTGAGCTTTAGGCATAGCTAAAACTTATACAATGCCCACATATTCTGACAATGAAGCCAAGGGAGAGACATGGGAAAGCTGGAGAGAATGTGGTCCAGTAAGGCATATCACTAGCAGCACAAATTATAGAAATGTCATCTCCATCGTCATTAAAGAACTCCACGGCAGAACATGTGGAAAGAGTTTGATAATTCTTCTCCCACATTATAAGAATTAGAATTATATGAAAGGGAGATGTGTTGAACATATAACGTGGGAAAAAGAAAAGCTAGATTTAGAGTGGACTATTTTAGAACCTAGGCATTGGTACGCTATTGAATAAAAAGCCTACTTTAGCAAATCATGTTAACCATCAATACTCATAGTATAGGAAGTTAAGATAAAGTTCCAAAACAACATAAATGCTTGAATTAATAAATTTGATATTAACCTCCTTGTTTTTGTTCCTCTGGGATGCCATGCAAAGAAAGAGTTGTTTACCCCGATGCCTCTGGACCATATATCTCTACTACACGTCCCTGAAAAGTTGGAACGCAATATAAGCTTTAAGGACCATGGGCAACATCAGATACTGTAGCAAAGAGAGTTTGAGCAAGGATATCTGTTTCCCTTCTCCTGAGTCACTCTCATCTGGTCATTTAGACTAGATTTCTTTTTACATGGACTTAAACAAGTTAAACAAAAAGTGTCTTATTGGTGAGCAATTACATCCAATTCAAAAATGAACAAATGCATTACTGAAACACAAATAATGCCATTGAAACACACTGCTTCTGGTCTTCCTATAAATGCATTAAAGCAGAAGAGAGTACAAAAAGAAAATAAGTTTCATACCTTAGCTTCATTAGCAATGTGGCCAAATATTTTTTTTTTGTTTGTTTATAGCCCCCAATACCGGTTGTTTCTTTTAGCGTTGTTGTCGCTTATTTTTAGAAGGGGTTTTGGCCTAGCCCCCCCTGTAAATTTAATCTTTTCATTAATAAAATCTGGTAAATGTCCCCCGACATTTACCCCACTGATTTTGGTGGTTTGCCTTCTGGGGTAAAAAAAACCTTCATTAGCAAAGTGGCATATCATAGTAGAGACTGACCCTGCGGAAAAAAGATATAAAGGTCACTACTTGACAGCTGAGATCGTGTTACTTTAGAGATGAGTCACGTTCTCAAAAGAATAGGTGATAGTGCTATATGAAAGTGCAATATGGTTATGACATACCAAAGATCACATGCAAAAGTATGGGATTATTCACTACAAGAAAAAGGGTCATTAGTGAAGGGAAAAGTAGTCGCAAAAGCAATGTATATGGTCACTATTGACAATTTGTGACCAAAAAATGTGGTCGCACGTTCATCCCTATTGGTCTGACCGCAAAAGTGTTTTTGCGACCACAAAAAGAGGTTGGTCGCTAATTTCTTTTGAGACCAACGAAAATGTGGACGCAAATGTTATTAGTAGAGACTACTCTCTATATCAAATAGCGACTATTATCCCTTCGCAATTGTAAATATAAATAAATAATTTAATAACTTGCAAGGGAAATGTCAATAGAAATGTATCATGTCTCAAGAAAAATCATCAAATATTTTAATAACTTGCAAGGGAAATGTCAATAGAAAACCATTTGGAATATATGCTTAACAACCTTTTTCATTAATTTGAGTTCAAAGTTTGCCCTGGTGCCATTGAGTCATTGCATCCAGCAAATCTAATAACCTTATTTTCCTTATATAGGTGACTCGTTTACACAATCAAAATCAAAATCGGAAGAACTTGGATTAAGAGAATTGTAATTGCTAAGCCTTTGAAAAGAAAAAAATACTCAACTCCTCAAGAACTATCTTAATAACAAAGTAACTATAACAATACATTGAAAATATCTTTACCTTGAGTTCTGGACTGCTGAACACTGGAGGGTTGAGACGATGAATCAACGAAGATGGGAATCCGTCAAGTATGGCCGCACTTCCATCGAACTGAAGAAAAGACTGAAATAGTCGTATACCCTATTAGGTCTAGTTGGACTGGGCGAAGAGAAGAAAGGGTCGTCCTCTATCAACTGGGTGGTAAAGAAAAACGCACATTTTTTGTAAAAATTCTGGACCGACTAATCTGTTACCATAGGAAGACGATTAATCGACGATTCCTCTTGTTGGGCGGACGACTAATGGGTGGAGCGACTTTAGGATCGAAAACCATAAGGTCTCCACATCATCTTACTGCCTATGGTTGAGTATTGCGCAGGCCAAGCGAAGTCGTTTAACAAGCTGGAAGTTACCTGCAGCTTGGAGTTCTTCACGATGCTCTGAGATGTGTTTTTGGTCACACGATTAGAGATTGAAAAATGCTCTGGGCGTATTACTGCATACAAAGTAGGGCGGGGTTTCATTAATTTGGGCGCGCTTTTACGCGCTTATGCAAAAAATTGGGCAGGCGCTTAGCGTAGGTATATTAGCCTATTAGGGACGGACTTAGGTTTACTTCTACGACCTGTTATTTAGTTTGTCGCAAAATGCAGCTACTTTTTGAACTTTTGGGACTGTATAAAAATTAGTCCCCATTAATATATGTATTGAGAATATATTCAATATTAGTCGCAAATTGTTAGTCACGAAAGGCCCTTTTTCTTGTAGTGATTGTCACATTAATGAACCATTTAGCGTACTTGTTTAAAGTTGCCAACAAAAACCTCTGGCGGAAGCAATAATAGGAAGTTTTGGAGAAATAGAAAAGAAGACAATCAAATATAACTTCAAAGTTTTGGTGTTTTTTTGCGGAGGCAGACGGGAGGGTATTGTGTTCTATATCATCCTTAAAATTCATTACTTGAATAAGACAAAAACATAGACAAAGTGACCTAATAGACCACCATACTTTTCTTTTTAAAATAGGACTCATGCGCTCTGAATTGGAGAAGTTTATACGTTTAAAAGAATCAAATGAGTAGTATTTTAGGAATAAAACATAGTTAGTCCTATTTGTGCACTTTATCTATGTTTAAGTCCTACTCGAGCAATTTCTTTTATTCTCTTATAGCAAGGTTAGCACGTGTTCTCGATCATAGGCATACAGATAGAGAATGATTTATATAGTTGAGGTTTGTCATTGTGGCTGAGTGAAAATTAATTAAATTCATCTCTTAAGTTAAGACTCTTAACCAGGGAATTGTGACAAAATCTATATTAATTCAAGTGAGTTAAGTTTCCTCCCAAAGGCAAAGAGGGCATTTCATTAACCCTATATTCAGTCTTTGACATTAATTTTTTCGCTGCTCCGTTAAGTATTAACGATTGCCTATTCCATCTCAAAACTTCTAGTACTCATCTTATAAATTCTTTGGAAGTTGGATTGAGACATTAAGTCATTAACTACTTAACTAGTTCCAAACCCTTAATGACACCAAAATAATTAGTTTGTTAAAACATAAATGCCCAATTCTGATCCAGAAGCACTAATAAAAAAAGAGAACTCAACTATAAATCTGTACAAGAAAACACCTTTTACAAATCTTTGCCTCAGAACTTAGATGCATGTAGAGTTTTTCAAAATGTAATACTCAAGTGGTGATGAGATGATGCATGGGAACTCTACTTTTCTGTAGACCAAACTAGCTAGACTAAATTATACTGTTAAATTTCATACTAATTTAGAAAAACCATTTTAAAATTTATAAAATGTTTTCTTCTTCTTCGTCACACTCTACGGAACATTCAATCTAAAGGTATATTTTGTAATAGTAAAAAAGTAAAGACATCTAAACTAAAAACATCACTTTCTCACCAATTATGATTATTAAACAAAGTTACAAGGTATTACTCTGTATTATATGATATTATGCATGCTTTTAACTAACAATGAGTTATAGTTATCAAAATACTCATAATATATACCGGTGTAAGATATTGTTCTAATAGAACTTTATTTATATTACACACAAGTACTTTGAACAACTGTATAAATTATAATCTAAAATCAAAAAATTATTTGCACATATTTGATAGACCTAATAACAAAAATTGTTAAAGAAAATATTATTGTCCAAGCCAATTTTTAAATAGTAAACTTCACAATATTAACATGTATAATTTGATACGGAGTATTATTATAAATTTGCAAGACTCATAGTACCTAAAATGCAGATCCTCATATCTTAATACCGTTAAAATATCGTAATTTTTCCGTGCAAAGCATGAGTAATTGATCCAATACTAAATATACAAATATCACTCCATTACCAAATGTTATTCGGCCCACATAAAGTCAGTCCAACCCAATTATATAGACTAAAACTGCAGGACGTAGGAAAACACACGGAGTTGTCTTCCTCGTCGATTAGCAGTGGGAAATAGAGTGATACTATCGCAAAAGTTACTGAGTATGAGATACGCTCAAACTATAACAAATAAGAGGACAAATTAGTCCATTGCTGAGCAAAGATAGGCACATTTGGAGGCCCGTCTCGGTATCTGGAATTAGAACGTCGAAGTACAGCGGCTACCCATCCAGTATGAATCTTATCTTATGATCGTATCTTCCTTTTGATTTCGTATTTGTTATTTAATTAATAATTGTTATGTCGTTATTTTGAAAACATAAATTGACCACATTGTTATTTATTGAATTAATGACAAAATTTGTTAATTTGACAGTGGTAGGATGACAGGGCCGGCCCAGGGCATGACTATCCAGCCCAACTGTACAGGACCCAAAATTTTGAAGGGCCAAAAAAAATATTAGTCTACATCAGCCCAAATTTACAAAACTTCCAATTTCAGCGCCCAACTTCAAATGACGAACCCATTCTCGCCCATCCGCGACCCTGCGCGGAACGAGAAATCAAAGAAGGCCGCTGAAGCCCATGGAGGACCTGCGCAAAGAAGCCTCGCACAACTCAGCGACTGAAGCCGACCTCCGCCACCAAGCGCCAGCGCCAGGCCGCCACTGGGCCACCGGCCACCGCACTCCGCCTCCACGGCTCCACAGTCCGGTTAGTTTCTGAATTCTGATATTCAGCTTTTCCGATTTATTTAGTTTGCTTATTATTGTGAATTATTGAATTTTTGAATTGTTAAATTGTTTGTTGAATTGTTGAATCCTCGAATTGTTCTAATTTGTTTATTTTCTGATTTCATGTTTGTTGAATTGTTGCATTGTTGTTATTTGTTGATTTTTTTGCAGTTAAAGTAAATGATTATTTGAATTGATAATTATTGTTTAAATGTGTTTAACAACTAAAATCTAAGAAAGTGGTATAAATATATTATTAGGTAACATCAGGTTCATATATTATAATCAGGGCCGGCCCAGGGCATGGCTCTTTTTAAATAAAATGTAAGTTATTAATAACTACTTTTATTTTTATCATTACGTTTATTAGTAACTTGTATTTACACACAATTTACTTCTGTTGCAACTTCAAAAAAAGGCCCAAATTTTATTGTTGCACAGGGCCTCCATTTTCTCGGGACCGGCCCTGTAGGATGATAGAGGATTAGTAATAGGTAGGCAACTGATTGAACATCGGTGCATCCCAGATTACTGCCAGCTTTACTGTCTGATAGTCATTTGGTGCTGCGATTTGTGGAGTATCAAATAAAAAACGGAACTTCAGCAGCAATGGAAAATTGTTTTACTTGGGATGGAACAAAACCCTGTGGAAACCCTTTCCGTTTTAATCCGCCGCCTAGCCGTAGACCTTTGATGAGTGAAACTTGCCGCACACTACTTTGCATCCTATCCAGCTGCTCCACCCGTTCAGAGTTGCAACATTCCCAACAAATACAAGGTAACTTAAGATTGGACTTGCATTGCTCTCAAACTATCAATTTTTGTTTGCCTTAGAATTCATAAGATAAAACAGATTAAACTGAAGTTCTAATTTCTGTTTGGGTAGAGTAAACTGAAATAGAATCGGTGAGGTTAAGTGAATTTAAGCTTAGTAGAAGTTGGGTGAACCCAGGTGCGTATATAATAATGTTGTTTGGATAATTTTCAAGTTAATCTTGGTGAATGAAGTAAAAGTTTTTTGGATGGAGGTTAAGCTGGGTGAATTTAACATCCGAAGTCCTTTATTTTAGGCTCTTTAGAACTGTTTTTTGTAAAATATCTCCGAGGCAGACATACTTTTTTTGAAAGGTGAATCCATAAAATCTATAAGAACCCATGTTGGCTTAGAATCCAATGGTACTAAATTCCATTATACCCGATCCTATAAGCGTAATATGTATTAACTTGTGCTGCTATTTTTTTTTTGCATTCCTGAAAATGTTGAATCAGGAAATGGTACTACTACTCCTAAGGAATTGGTTGATCAACATTTGGAGGCTGAAATTAAGTTAGTTGATGCTACTGATGATGAGAAGAACAACGGTCATGCCATTTGGCAGGACCTAGGTGATATCATTGATGCACAAATGATGGATTGTATAGATTCATTGGATCAAATTGAAGATTCAACAGAATGTGAAGCGCAAGCCCCTCAAGAAAATGGTGCTAACAATGGGGTAGTGAGTTCAGTCTCTCTGGTGGACACCAAGCAAGACAGTACTCTTGACTTTCAGTTGCATGGTGAGGAAGCAGAGAAATCAAACATCCGAGACTTACAAGCAGAGGAATCCGATTTTGAAAAACCGCAAAAAATGGATACAGAAATCTCTATTGGAGAAGCTTGTGCGACTAGAGGAGCATGTTTACATATAGAGTCTGAATCATCACAGCTTGTTCAGAGTGATCAAGAGAAAAACGATATTGATGAGAATGATGTGTTGGGAGATACGGAACATGGATTGCAACTTAAAGAGTTGGAACCGCAAAACTTGATTTCTCCTTTTGGACCCCCAAACGTATCAGTTAGTGAAGAGGTTGAAGAAGGACAAATTTCTGGAGATGATGAGGTAAATTATTATGAACCTGATGATTGCATGATTTTTGAAGAGGCAGTTTCACTCGAACAGGAGATTGCTCGTGTGTGTACCACAGCTATAAAAGAACCCACTCATGATGTTCTGGATACTAAACCTGAGGAAAAGGATGTTCTAACTTCAGTTTGTAATGAATCCAAGAAGTGTATTCGAGAATTTTCAAAAAAGGTGGAGGAGAATGACTTTGAGACTGTTGAATGCAAGAATGGCGCTGAGAGTGAGAAAGTTTATTTTTCATTTGATAATGTTATAGAGAGGGACATAGTTACTAATCAAATAGAAGGTGCTAAGAAGGTAGATGGATCCGCCGTTTGTTATCCCTTGAAGACATCAACCTCAGAATATGCTAATGAAAAACAATGTTTTGTTACTAAGACAAAGGTGTACTTTTATTCCTCTGATTTAATTTCTCTGTTAACATTGGTTTAGTTGTGCTAGAGATTTGTGTGCATTTACACTTTCCAGGTGTTGTTTGGTAACCTTACCTGAATCTTTGTTGTATACATCATGACAGGATACAAATAAAGTGACAAAGAAAAGCGTCAGAGGGCCTATTACTGAGGAGAGGAAGGCAAAGCGAAAGGTATTTATTTTTTAATGGCAAAGCGAAAGGCAAACCTCCCTGTTTGATAGACTTTCACATCATCTTGAAAAGTGTTTTTGAAATTTGCCCATAGTAGCGAATTATGTACACAGATATTACTCTAATGATTTGCACCTTTTTGGCATTTAATGGCCACAATGCATCTGATATATTTCACAGGTCAAAAAGAAGATTAAGCAAGCCGAAAAGAACAGAAAGTTAGGAGTAAAAAGATTAAAGCTTCCGCCACCAATTATGAAGCCAAAAAAAGTGTCATATTGCCACCATTATCTGAAAGGAAGGTGCCACGAGGTGATTTGAAGCCCTACAATATTGTTATTATTTTGGATCTCTTAAGGAATTCATGTAAATTTAATATTCTTCACATATATTGTTCTCGTACAGGGGGAGAAGTGCAATTTCTCTCATGATACAATTCCATTGACCAAATCAACGGTATACTTTTGTTGCTCCCGTGCAGTTATTGTGCATGTCGTATAACTGCAAACTAGCAGGATTTAGGTGTTCAGACTTCTATCTTTAGATATAAGTGCTATTTAATATTGCAGCTTAGATACAATCTTAAAGCATGTTGAACATGATCTGCATGGTTTTCATGTATTTAAATGTTCAATGTTCTGATGTTTCAGCCTTGTTGCCATTTTGCACGCAATTCTTGCATGAAAGGGGACAATTGCCCTTATGATCATCAGCTCTCCAAATATCCCTGCAATAATTTTGCTTCCATAGGTTTTTGCAGCAGAGGAGCCAAGTGTTTGTTCTCACATGACGTATGGATACTATATACTTAATCTTTTTAAGTTTTTCATTTTTCCATTTTTTCCCAATTAATATGATTTATCTTTTATTTCTGGTATTCCTTCAGGTGCCAGCTAAGACAGAATCCTCAAAGACTCCTGCCTCCGCGGCTCATTTGGGCTCACCTTTACTTCCATGTAGTTTAAGCCCAAAGATGCAGGTCAATGCTAATGGCAGTAGCCCTCAGCTATATCTGGGTGAGCCCATGCAAAAACCTGCTTTTCAGACACCAAAGGGTGTAAGCTTTATTGCTCGTGGGAAGTCATCATGGGTGAAGGAGAGTGGTTCTGGAAAATTTACTCAAGAGGAGATTCTCTCCAACTCAATGATTGCCCAAAAGCCAAATGATGTTATGAAGGAGAGATCACCTGCAGGTATACCAAATGGTGTGAACTTCCTTCGCTTTGGAGGAGCTACTTTGACTGATTCCACTCCTAATACAAACTCAAACATGCTTAACAGAGATGGTGAAAGTCAGAGTGGTGGTATATGTAGAATTGAGACGAGAACTGAAGCCCACCTCAAACCTACGCCTCGAGGAATTAGCTTGCTCTCATTTGGAAAAGCATCATCAGATGGCTCCACTTCAAAAGACCAATCTATCCTTTGTAGTAAAGAGCCCAATATTGCCACCCCCGTGGCTCCTCGTGAGAGACAAAATTTGCTAAGAAGAATTGACAACTCCAGGAACATGCCGTTTAAGTTGTTATCTTCTCCACCTCTATCCAATCAGCTCTATGGTCAATCCACAGCGGGGAATAGTTTTGGACTGCCCAACTCAACATTCTTGGCAAGCATGTTAGGCTCAGCACAAAAGGCCATCCAATCAACTTTAGCATTCTCAGCTAAGATCGAGCCTGGGATCAAGTTAGATCAATCAATTGGTGCATCTGCTGTAACTTCCCAAGTTATAGAGCACCAATGAGTTTTCAAAAAGGGTACTTTTCAGATGCTATCAACAGTTTCTGGAGTTGTTTAATGATGAGGGAAGCAAAGTGTTGCTTGCCTTTCTCTTAGTGAACATGCATGAATTGTCCTTGCGTTTGTTAGTAATGTTCAATTTAAGATGCAATATTGCACCCGGAGAAGAGTGGGAAGGATAAACATAAGGTATCTTCTTGTTGTACCTTCTCGGGTAGATGTAAAAAAGATAAAGTATTCCCCTATATTTCACCCCCCAATTCATTTTTTCCTTATAGTATGCGTTTGTCAAGTTGAACTCCTTTTTCTTTTTCTTATATCGACTCAAATTGTTGGCTGAATTTGAGTTCTTAAACAGTGTCCTTCCCAGTATATAAAACATACTTCTTCAGACTAGGCTAACACAAGAATCCTTTAATATTCTGCAGGTTATCATGAACACAGTGCTGTGGTTCATGTATCACTAAAATCAGGAAAGAGAAGAAAATGCCTCAACAATGGTTTACCAGTCATTCAACATTTATTGAATGTGAGTGTTTTTTCTTTAATTCGGGTTACTACATTTCTTTCAGAAGTTGGACACTAAGGGTATGTTTGGGACTTGGGGGTTAGGCTTGGAGGGGAGTGGAAGGTTGAGGGGGGTGTATAACCCTCCCTTTCTTGTTTGGGATTTTAAAAAATGGGAAGAGATTGTTTTGGCGGGTTCTTATAAGTTATAACCCTCCAAACCCCTTCAAATGCTCAATTGGGAGTTCCCCCAAATTGGGAGTTTTTGAAGGATAACTAATTAAGTGATAATTTTAGCCCAATTTAAAATGAATACAAAGTTCAATTATTTGAATTCGCTATATATTAGTAATATTTAATTGTAATTCCTCCGTAGTTGCTCTCTTCCCAAATTTGTAACTCTCGAACAAAATGAACAACTTCTTTCACTTCCCCTCCCATTCCTCTTTCACTGCTAACCTTCAAAGCCTTCCCATCCCCCTTCCGCCAATGGCTCGTGGGGTATCCCTGCTAGTTTTCATTTTTTGGTTTTACGATTGTTGAAGTTACCATGTACATGATATAAATTTCATCATGATCTAAAAAGTAGTCATTTATATAGATCATGTCAATTTTTAAAATTGCAAAAAGATATTGAAAACCGTTTTTTCAAGTATTTATAAACTTTGCAGTAGTTTTCAAAAGATAAAAAGAAAACACGAACTAGAAAGTCAAAGCAAGCATATCCTATGTTGATTTCCATTCATACAATCTTAGATCGTCAAACAACATAAAGTGGAGTACTGTCAAATTCATAGTTATGCACTTATGCCAGACATATAAAACATAATTTAAAGTTCACATAAATCCCACGTAAAGGTTTGATCACGGACTGTCGTGAGTCGTGATTTACAGGCTCTAAAGGAGGCTGCCTTGATGAATTTCATCAAGCAAGCAAAGAAGAAATTGCGCAATAGTATTGCCCCTTGAGGCGCGCCTCAGCGATTTTCAGGCTTTATGCGATTAAAGGCGTATCTACTTTTACACCATAGGAAGGAGGAGGATGCCTTTTATGGGTGAGGCGGCGATATAAGGCGTAGGATATATATCGCAACAAAGGCGGACAGTCGGACACAATAAGTTTGCCGTTTAAATTGATTAATTGGGTCCAGATTTATCTGAAACCCAATCATAATTTCAATAATTGATGAATACCTATATTTCTTTCACGCATCTGGCAATCCATCTCATCTCTTCTCTGTCTCTATCAGTCGTCTCCAAAGGTAAGCTTTTCTTCATAAAAGAAATTATGCATGCTCTATTATTAGCTATGTGCCTCTCGTCTCTCTGTATTTTTATCATGACGTCCACATGGGACTTTTTTATATTACTCATCATCAACAATGGTCTCTGACTTTTTTGTAATACTCCTTAATTATATTTACTCTTTTTTTTCATTACTCCTTAAGCTCTGTGCCCGCCCCTTTTTTTGTATTACTTCTTAAGTATATTTACTTTGTGTTTGTAATTATTCGCATTCAAATTTGTTTTTATTCGTATTGATGTTTTTCTTTTTATATATTTTGTAGTTGTTCTTTTACTTTTGAAGTTGTGGTTCTGATCCCAGTTTCAAACATCTATAATACTACGGAGTACAAGATATCGAACTCTCTTTTCGATTCATCAATCCAATTTTAGCATAAATAATTTCAATGATGTCTTGTTTGAACTCAAGGTTTCAATTACAGTATGACATTTTTGTTAGTTTGTTTATAAATTTTGCTGTTCTAGAAGAATAGTTATTTCTTATCACTTAATTTTTTTATTCAGATAAATGCCCCACGAATTAAGATTTATGTCTTAGGCTCTTAGCCTTACGCCTCATTGCGCAATGAGGCTTACGCAATACACCTTATAAAAATAGCGCCTCAACTGCGTGATATGCTATTTAAAACATTGTGCACCATAAGGTTTGCTCTTTGGTCCTTGCCTTTGCTAGTGTTCCTAGTGAGGATGTATCCCTACCGCCACACACCACACCCTCTCCCATGCTATACAAAAGCGACCAAACGATTCTTCTGTCAAGTCTTACGCTTAACGTTTCATTTGGATATGTGGAGTCTATAACATGCATGTGTTGTACTTTAAGCTTTCCATGTCTTTGTGTTATCCTCGCAATAGTATGATTTTGTTTTGTTTGTTTTGTATTTATCTCCATCATCATATGATGAACAAAGTTGAATGATAGAATGAAATAGAGAGAGCGCTAGGTCTAGACTAAGTGGTTGAGGGTGAGTTATTAGGTTGGAAATTCAGGTCTCAGATTCTTTGTAAACAAAGAACATGTGGGCATTAAAAATAGAATACTATCTCCAAATTTTTAATAAAAGCAATGGAAATTTTTGTAGAATAACGGCTAGGGTTGGACTCGGGCCGAGTCGGGCCCGGGCCGGCGGTTCTATATAGCTGGACCCGGGACCGGCCCGGGTAGCCACCGGGTTCGGTCCGGGTTCGGTCCGGGTCCGGGCCGGGCCTCGGGTTTGGTTATTATTTTTTTTTTTTGCTTAGCTACCCATCCCTGACCCCCCCCTCACCCCCCACCCCCCAAACCCCTCCTAAACATCAAGCCCAACCCGGTGGAGCCCAAACAAATGAAAAAAACAAAAAAAATAAATAAATTTGGCCCGAACCGGGCCCGGGCCCGGCCGGGCCGGGCCTTGTTATGGGTGACCCGAGCCCGGACCGGGCCTTGTTATGGGTGACCCGAGCCCGGACCGGAAACCCACCGGGTCGGGCCTACCCGGACCGGTCACTGACCGGGCCACCGGTTCGGGCCGGGCCGGAACAGTACCGGTCCCGGGCCGAGTCCAACCCTAATAACGGCCATTGTGGATTTGTGGAACTATCTCCAAATTTTTAAATTGATGCCAAATAAATGGAAGGATAGGAATGCCTAGGGATGGACTCGGGCCGGGTGGCCCGACCCGGGACCGGTACTGTTCCGACCTGGCCCGACCCGGTGGCCCGGTCAGTGACCGGTCCGGGTAGGCCCGGCCCGTGGGTTTTCCGGTCCGGGCTCGGGTCACCCAAAACAAGGCCCGACCCGGCCAGGCCCAGTTCGGGCCAAAACTATTTTTTTCCAATTTTTTTTAAATTTTCGGGTTGGGCTGGGTATTTTGGGCCATTTGGGGTGGTTTGGGGGGTTGGGGGTGGGAGGGGGGTTAATTAGGAAGAGGAAAACAAAAAAAATTGATAATGGGCCCGGCCCGGACCCGGTGGTTACCCGGGCCGGTCCCGGGTCCACCACTTCTGAACCGCCGGCCCGGACCCGAGTCCATCCCTAGGAATGCCCGTGTAAGAATGATGAATTCGCGTTTGTTTTATTTGTTCGGGGTTAGAATTGGTATTGGAATTGGCCTGAATTGGTTTTAGTTTCGGTTTTGGTCCTGTTTTCCCCAAAATGTGATCTAAACTGACCACTTGTTATTTTTTATTAGTTCCCATTGTTTATATCTTACTTTTTTGGGTCATCTCACCAAGTTCATCTCATGCTATATTTGTTAATATTTATGTCATTTTAAATCATTTTTTACTTTATTTGCAGTTTACCATTTTAATATCAACTACACTGCTATATTTGTCTTAATAATCACAACATTGTATCATGATCTGCTCTTAGTGGGATGGAGTAGGTGTATGCGCAAAATTTTGGACTACACTGCAAGTGACTTTAAAATTGAGATTGGTAGCTCTGTTCCAGATTGAAATTGATGCGAGTCCATTCTTATTTCCTGATGGCGAATTCATCATCGGAGTGCCTTACTGTAATAATTGTATGAGTTAATTCTTAATTTCCTGATCTTTTTGGTTCCCCCATTTCATATTAATGTCAATATGGAAAAGTTTTTATTCGCTTCAACTTCTGTTGGCTTCGAATTGGGTAGCCTTCTTCCATGAAAAGGTATAATAGTGTGACGTTTCATTAATCATTATTATTGTTGATGTTTTGCTTTTAACCCTTAAAAGCATAGAAACAAATGAACTTTTCAAGTGATTATGCATCTAGTTGAGTTACTAGCATTCATTAATTCTTGTTAAATTGTATATAGTAGTGGACTCGGGCCGGTTCGGGCCCGGTTCGGGCCTGGGCCCGGCCGGGCCTCGGTTCTAGGAAGGCAGGCCCGGAACCGGCCCGGATAACCCCGGGTCCGGTTCGGTTCGGGTCACCCGCCCGGTGGGCCGGGCCGGGCCTATTTTTTTTTTTTAATTATTATATAATTAGAATAAATCTTATTACAATTACAATATATTATATTCGAATTGAAGTATATTTATTTCAAATAAGAAGTACAATTGAGAATTAGGATGAATTTAAAAAATGTAATACATTTTGTAATAAAAAATCAATCGGACTCTCTGCCTTCGGTTGTTTCCTCCATAAAGTGGCGGGAGGGAGTGATGGTAATTTCTTGAGTTCTTCGTTTGGCCTTCAACCAATCGTGAAAGCAAACTAGTCTCAAGAGAGCTCGGGCTCAACCTCGTTCTAAAATCGGTTAGGACGTTGCCGGCCGCACTGAATTCTTGTTCCACGGCAACGGTTGATATCGGCATTGCTAGTACTTGTTTAGCCATCTTTGATAAAATCGGGAATGTTCTTTCATTTTCTTTCCACCACTTAAGAACGTCAAAGTCATCACCAACTTCATAATCAACATTCAATGTTAGATACAAAGAAAGCTCGTTACCTGAGCTTTGTTCAGTAGCGGGAGTTGCTCTACTTTTTTTCAAAAGAGAACCAAAAGCGGATTTTAAAAGTGATTTTCCTTTAGATGAAGAAGATGTTCGTTGCATGGGAGGGGGTGCATTACCATATTGTGCATGAAATTCATTATACAATTGATGAAATAAATTACTAACCTCGTTGAATTCTTGTTTAGGGTCGATGGGATTATCATCGAACTCTTGAGTTGGAAAAAAAGAAGCATAATAGTAATCTATACAATTTGCCAAGTAAGGAAGTTTATAACGAGGATCAAGAACAAATGCAATACCATATATATGCGGAATATGTGAATAATATTTTAAAAACTTTTGTTTCATGAAATCACAAAAATAACTAACGTAAGCGGCGTTGGAAAATTCACAAAAAGCGCCGGCGAGATTAACAGCTTCAACAAAAAATTCGTTTGCGGTAGGTTTATAAACATGACTAAAAGTTAGAGTTGCGTTATTAAAATATGCCAAAACATTAACAATTTTTTCACAAGTGTCGATGTCAACCGGGTTTATAATATAGTTACAAGTTTGTCTTAAAAAAGCTGGAAAATGATCTTTATATCTAACAAGTACTTGAATTAAATTATAAGTACTATTCCAACGAATAGACAAATCTTTAGGAAAAGCACAATAATTCACACGTCTATCCTTCAAATATTGCCGCCATTGCATTTTTAGTGGAGTGTTAGCCCAAATCAATTTAATTCCCCCCTTCACTACCTCCAAAGCATTTCCTAATGCCGCTAAGCCATCTTGTACACACAAATTTAGAATATGACATGCACAACGTTGATGAAAAAATCTACCCATCAATGTAGAAGCACCACACAATTCACGTAATCTAGGTATAGCAGCAGTATTATTACTAGCATTATCAAAACCTACAGCAAACACCTTATCAATCAAATTATACTCAATTAAAATACGTTCAATGAGAATATAAATATTATCAGCAGTGTGACGATCATTGAATTCACGAAAAGCAAGAACACGTTTATGCATATTCCAATCATCATCAATATAATGTGTAGTTAGACCCAAATAATATAAATGATGATAAGTATCCTCCCATATATCGCTACAAATACTAACACGTCCATCAAAGTTTGCGAAAAATATTTGTAATTTTTCTTTTTCCAAGTTATATTGCCTTATAACTTCTTTTTTAATCGTTTTGCGACTATAATTTCTAAATTGAGGATTTAAAGTACCTTGAGCATAATCTCTTAAAGCAAGACTTTCGGAAAAAATAAAGGGTAAATTTTCTTCAACAATTAAATGAGACATACCAGTCAAATGTTTTTTATCATCATAGGAAAAATTACCAAAGGGTTGAGAATTTGCAAACCTTGATATTTGTGTTTGCTTCCCCTTTCCTTTGTCTATTTTCGCATACTCCACAAAGTGGGCGGACTGAAGATGCCTTTTGAGACTCCCGTATCCGCCAGAAATTCCCAAGCTAAACTCTTTCTTGCAATGATTGCAACTTGCGTACCATTTTTCGGTTTTTTCGTCTTTCCTTTTTGTATAATTGTTTTCAATAATAGCAGATTTAGATTTCTTACCAATTTGGGTTGTAGTCGTTGAAGGGCCCTCGTCCTCTTGCTCATCATCCGGAGTCCCGTCGCCCCCCGCGTCCTCCTCCCCATCGTCATCCTCGAGCTCCTCTTCATCGATGGTTGTCGGGAATTGTTGTTCTTGTGCAAAACGTGGATCATTTTGGGACAATAGGTGTTGTAGTTCCTCGTCGGACATCATCATACCATCTCGCCGTTGGTAATCCGTTTCAAAATCATCTCGACTTTGAAAAGAAGACTCGGCCCGCGCTTTACCTTTGCCTTTGCGTGAAGTAGATCGAGTCGATGCAATCTCCCTCTTGCGGTTGCGTTGGAGATTACCCACATCTACAGAATGTCTACCACGCTCCATCTTTAAAATTGAACAAATATTAGCAATTAACTAATATGAGAAATGTAAAAATTAACTAGTTTTGTTATTTTAATGAGATATGTAGCAATTAACTAATATGAGAAATGTAAAAATTAACTAGTTTTTTTTACTTTAATGAGATATGTAGCAATTAACTAATATGAGAGATGTAAAATTGTAGCAATTAACTAATTAACTAATATGAGAAATGTAAAAATGTAGCAATTAACTAATTAACTAATATGAGAAATGTACAAATGTAGCAATTAACTAATATGAGAAATGTAAAAATGTAGCAATTAACTAATTAACTAATATGAGAAATGTAAAAATGTAGCAATTAACTAATTAACTAATACTCCCTCCGTCCCTTAAAACTTTGCCAAGTTTGACCGGCACGGGGATTAATAAAGTAAAAATTGTGTGGTAGAGGTTTGTGCAGAGGAGAGAGAATTAACTGAAACCACAAATTCTTTACTCAAAAAGGAAAGTGGCAAAGTTAGTGGGACATCCAAAAAAGGAAAGTTGTCAAAGTTTTAAGGGACGGAGGGAGTATGAGAAATGTACAAATGTAGCAATTAACTAATATGAGAAATGTAAAAATGTAGCAAATAACTAATTAACTAATATGAGAAATGTAACAATTAAGTAGTTTAACTAATATTAATATGACAAATGAAACAATTAACTTTAACTACTTTAACTAATATTAATATGACAAATGAAACAATTAAGTAATTAAATAGATAAACGAGAAGTGTATATATAAATCAAATGTATAACTATATATAGTATATATAAATATATAATGTGTAAATATATTATAAGTAATATATAATATAATGTATAACTATATATAGTATATATAAATATATAATGTGTAAATATATTATAAGTAATATATAATATAATGTATAACAATATATAGTATATAATATAATGCGTAAAGAATTATAATATGAATGTGTATAAGTATATATTTATAAGTAGATAATTAATATTATAATATATAAGTAGATATAATAATTATATAAATTATATATATGTAGAAAGAATTTGGAGAAGATGAAGAATGAAGATGATTGAATATGAGAGATTAAGAGAGTAGAGAATTTAGATTTTAGAGAGTAGGAAGAGTTGTAGAAGAAGAGGTGTAAAAAATGTATAGAAAATAGGAGTATAAATAGGTTTTTTTTGTATACCCCACCCCCACCCCCACCCCACCCCCCTAACCCCCCAGACCCCCCCCTCCTATGCTCCCAACGGCTATAGAGCCGTTTGGGAGGTCTCCCAACGGCTAGTAGAGCCTTCAAATTTTTTAAATTTTTTTTTTGTGACCGTTGAGGCCCGGCCGGGCCGGTTCACCAAATTATAAGCCCGGGCCCGAACCGCTACATGACCGGGCCGGGTGGCCCGAACCGTGACCTAACCGACAAACCGGGCCGGTCCGGGCCCGCACAGTAGCGGGCCGGTCCGGTTCCGGCCCGGTTGGCCCGGCCCGAGTCCACTACTAATTGTATAGCAGTACAATATCAAATTCTGTGCATTAATTCATACGGAGTACTTACTAGGAAATGTTAGATACATAAAATGCTCGTTAATGAGGGGGTGTGGTCGTGTGGAATTAATTTTGCTTTTGCTTCTATTTTTAAACTAAAATGATGAGAAAGTTTCTCTTTGGAGTGTTTGATATAGATTATTATGTACTCCGTATGAAACAGTAAATCAGTTCATAGGGTTTATTGCTATTTTACCCAAAGGTCACACTGTACTGATTCTGTATTTAAAAAATGATATTACTATTTGTACTGAATAATGTGGGGCTTGTGTCGAATAAGAATTTCATTTTAAAAATATAATTCAAAGTTAATTACTCCATCTTAAAATAACTTGCATGATCTAAAAACCGTTCTCGTAAAATCACATGCAAGATTTAATTGAGACAATTCCCTAATTTGTATATATTTTATTTCCTTCATCTCTTAAAACTTTGCCAAGTTTGACCGGCACGAGGATTAGTGAAATAAAATCTGTGTGGTTGAGGTTTGTGTAGAGGAGAGAGAATTAACTTGAACCACAAATTTTTTACGTAAAAAGGAAAGTGACAAAGTTAGTGGGATATCCAAAAAAAGAAAGTTGATAGTTTTAAGGGACGGAGGGAGTAATATGTATCACAGTCACATCTTCTGGCCTGCAAGCTCAGCTGCTCAGGTATGTAATCTAATTTAATAAAAGATCCAATTTAGAGAAGAGAAGAGGTGAAGAGAAGAGGAAGCCTATG